TCTTTGAATTGAGAAAGCTCCATCAGAGGTGTCCACTAAAACTAGCATAATTTTGTCCTGGCAGATGACAATGGCCAATCAGTGATGGAGAAAGGTGAGGGGAGCTTTGCTATGTACCAATAATGATGAATGATTGTTTGAAATGTGTTTAATAGGTTAACTAAAAAACTGCCGATCTGACTCCAAATCCACCCAAATCAATTTTTACCTGCAAAATCAGAATGAAAACTGCCCAATTGGTGGTAAACCGCCCAACGTGGCAACACTGCCCAGTCTCAGGGCAATTTATACAGACCGGGGTGGGGCCCACAGCAGGTGGGCGTGGACTAAAGTTTTCAGTGTTGTGCATTGCACAAGGGGGAACCCACTGGCAAGAGCCTTAAAGAGCTGTTCCTATATGAAATAGGATCTAAACCCTTCATATATCTTTTTTTTTGTAAGAGTTTCTTTTTCAAGTATTTAAATTTATATTTAAATGAAAATGGCAGTTTATTTCAGTATGCATATTGGTTGTTTTGAATGAAAAGGAAAAGGACACCTTTTTTAATGAGTATCTGGCTTGTGGCTTGAGCAGTTATAATAAATGGACCTTTGACTATTTGAAAAGTGTCTTTGTGGACCTTCAACATTTTTATTTGAGGACCCCTGTTCTAAACAATCACACGATAGTTGGCGCATACACCTGTAAGAAAACACTTCTGCCAGGACGGAATGCTTAAAACAAGTTCTTGTAAGTGATGCAAGAACAAAAATATTATGTAATATGTATTTTTCATCATGCAACTGCAACAATGAGAACAAATTCAGTATTTAGAGAAATAGCAACTATTACACTATATCCACTATATTTATTGATCCTACAGGATCAATAAAGTTCTTATCTTATATGTTGTCATACAATAACCTAGGTGTCTACAAGATTAAAAAAGAAGGTTTGTAGGCTCAATCAATGTAGGCTACAAGATCAAACACTTCAGAATCAAACAGAGTCCCAAGAACATGATAAGGCAAAGACATGAGAAATGAAGAGAAATGAGGAGCAGAATATTTGCCAGTAGGCCGTTTCCCCTCAGGGGAGGAGATTGGGCAGGATGCAGAGGTGGTGATGAACGAGGAGGGGACGAGGCCTGGGGGATTTCACAGTAAATGCCGGTCCAGCCTTGGTAGCATTGGCAGGTGAACTTGTGCTTCATGTCCAGGATATCGTGGTTGTTGAGGTGACCTATGACATGGAAACGGGGGCTCCTGCCTGCTGGGTTGTGGTGAATGTTAAAAAAACGAGGGTTGAGGTGCAGGTAAACACCCGAATCCAGGCTCTTGCGAACACATCTGCCATTCTTCTTGCAAAGTGCTTTGCTGCACAGCTTGGCTGCAGACGTGACGTTGATCACATAATGTCCCAGAGGCCCATCGATGTAGTTCTTCACAGTCAGGCAGTTCTTCTGAAAAAACAAGGAGACATTAAACAGTTTTAAACAAAATCAGGTGGCTCATGAAGTTTTAAACCAGTAACAAATAACTGCCTTCCATCAATTTTCTTTTAAACAAAGTATTTTTTTAAATTAATTTTTCAATTTTAAACACACAACAATACAGAACATTGAAACCCCCCACCCCTTCCCTCCCAAACCAGATCAGTCAAACATACATAAATAAATCTAAAAAATTAAATCTGGTCCTCTGGACATTCAAAAAACAAAACAAAGCAAAACAAAACAAAATAAAAAAGTAGAAACGTTTCCTCTTTCATCTGAAAGACTTCCTCAGCCTGAGGTGCTGTATTCTACACTCATCTCCAGGCCAGCGGTCACTCTTTCAGGGATGAAGATGTTCACATCCTGGACAGAGAGGAACGATGGTTTGAGAGAGGAGTAAAGGAGGCCATCTTTGTGAAAAGAAATCATCCATCATTAAACAGGGGTGGAGGCCTCCGGGTTCAACTGTCCCCCTCTTACAATGCTGTGATTGCTAGTATCACTCAGCCCTCTGTGAATAGTAAACAGCCATCAGGTGCTAATGATCCATTGTTAGGCTGATGGTCCTTCTTGAGCATGTGATCAGCTGGTTTTGGTTGTCAGCAGCAAAACTGGTTGATTCACTCTGAGAAGGTGCTATTTAAGAGACTGAGCTGAAAACAGCACCTCAGACTGAGGAAGTCTCTCGGATGAGAGACGAAACGTTTCTACTTTTTTTTTATTTTTTATTTTTTTTTGCTTTGTTTTTGTTTTTTTGTTTTCTTGTTTTTTGAATGTTCAGAGGTCCAGATTGAACTTTTTTGGACTCATGGATTATTGAGCATGCATCAGGATATACATAAATAAACTAAACAGGCATTGACATACATTTACATGCAACATAAAGAGCCGCCAAATATCCCAAAATCTTTTTACAGAACCTTTTAGCGTGTTCCTGATTTTCTCCAGATGAATGTGGTACATCCCCTCCCTTAATCAATGTGCATATGCTCGGGGGGGAGGGGAGGGGGTGTCCTTCCAGTTGCAAAAAAAAGCTGTGAGGATGGTACTTTTCTGTGGCCTGGTTTGTCTGTGCTCCCTCATTAGTTCCATTGTTACCACCCGTGTCTCGTCCCAGCTGTCTGTAATTATGTCTCGTCTTGTCTCTGTATATAAGCCGTCTGTTCTGTCTTGTTCTTCGTCGCGTCGTCTTCGTTGGGTCTCTTGAGTCTTTCCCTGAGTTTTCCTGGTTCCTCGATTTCCCCGTGTCTCTCGTGTCTCCTGAGTTCCCCGTGCCTCCTTCCTATGCTCATGTAAGTTTTGCTGCCCCGTCAGCTTGTTATTTTGTACTTTCATTTATCATTAAAATCCTATTTTTGTATTTCTGCCGAGTTGAGTCCCTGTTCTGCACTCTGGGTTCGCTCCTGACCACAAATCCTAACAAAAGCCTCCTGGCAAGAAGAAAGCCAAAAGCAGCGGCGTTTTTAGAGTCTTGAAACATTGGGGGCTTTAGCCCAGACCCCTTATTCATCCTCTTCCCTATTTAAAAAGATCCCCTTCAAGACTATTATTGTTATATTTTGTTTATTTATCATACAGTCACAACTGATTACTGTCAGCAGTGGAAAATAACATTTATTAAAAAACATATACTGCTACTATTATATTTACTTTTTAAAGTAAACTAAACATACTTTAAGAGTATTTGCTTCTTTTATTTAACAAGCGCTGATTTAAAATTGTGACCCAGGCTCCTCCGTTTTCTGCTACAGACGGACAGCTCTGACTTTCACTAATGGAACTGTTGTGTTCCGGTATATACAGACATTTGCCCCACAGAGGGAAGTAAATATACCAAAGGATTTGTAGTAATACTATGTAGGGACACATCAAGGTTTTTCTACCATCAACTTTTATTTCTTTTGATACTTTGAAAGTAAGACTAACTCTCATTCCCAAAGCTGGACAGTAAGGAACCATGTTACAAAAAAAAAAAAAAAAGAATAACAAAAATCTGTTGTTGTAATTAATTGCACACCTGTTATTATGATTTCAGCAAAGCTGAAAGGCCCTTTGTATGAGAAACTTTCCATCTGACCTTTGAAATATAACATCTGAAGCATTATGCGTATCTCTTCCTAAAAGGGATGATTCGTCCTGCAGTCTTAGAGTGTGAGAAAGACCCCATTGTTCTCAGGGACTCTTTGGCCATCCCACGGAAGATATCATTTTTCTGAACAATTTAAATTTCTGAGTTCTCCTGAACATAAGAGAAAGTAGATGTAAAACGTTGGTTACGTACTGTAACCCCAGATTCTATGAGTATAGGTGTAGCCCTTTAAGGATGTCACTGCTGGGTTTATCCCGTCATGCAAAGCATCGCACTGAAAAAATTAGTCCACGCTCACCTGTTGTGTGGGCCCCACCCGGTCCATATAACTTACGTTAAGAGCGGGTAATTGGCTCCCAAATAGCTTTTTCTTCAGCCATTTAGGAGCCAGTGAGGCCCGATGCTTAAAGGGCTACGCTTATAGAAATATAATCTGGGGTTACAGTACGTAACCAACGTTCTATTTCGTATAGGCGTCACCCTTTAAGGCTGTCGCTGGTGGGTTAAGGGCGAAGTAGATGTAGTCACCGCCTCACTGAGTCCATTCGAACACCATAAGAAGCGCCCGCTTGCCCAAAAAACATTTTGTCACTCAGCTCTCCATGTGCGTAAAAACGCATTGCGTAATTACGCGCACCATGCACAGGCGCGCATTGTGTAATTTACGCGTTCCGAGTGCATGAACGCCCTGGAAAGGTTTTCAACAGAAACAGAGGAGAGGCTGAAAAAGAGCAGATCCATGGCTCTTCAATATGAACATATTAATAATAAATGAACTGATTATTAATCAAATGAACTGATTGATGACAGTAGTCATGAACTGATTAGTGACAATAGAACAAGAACAACAGTCACAACCTGTGGATGATAACATCTCACACTGTAAATGCATGCAGTCAGATGTGAGTTTAAATGAGATTCCATGAAATAATAATATTCATTCTGTTAAAACACTAAGGACAGAATATGTCATGGAACGAGCTGTCACATCACGTAAATAAAAGCGAATAAATGAGCAGGGTGTTGACCACGCAGCCACAGTGCAAATACCCTGCATTGTCATACCATTATGCAAAGCAGAAGATGCGATACCTCTGGTCGAGTGTGCCATGAGGTTGTCAGGAGGCTCTAAATCTGATGCTCTGTAGGCTTCAGAAATGGCCTCACACAGCCAGTGTGACAGGCGCTGGGTGGATAACGGGTGACCTGCAGATGCGTCTTTATAGTGCACAAACAAATGTTGAGTCTTGACGCAATGCCACCGTGCGTGTTAAGTAACACGTCAACGCACGCACAGGACAGAGAAGATGGAAAGATGCTTCTTCTGATTTGTGGGGAGGAGGGAAGAATCTCTCCAACGATATCGCTCTTGATTTAAATGAGCTTGTGATGTTTTTAGGCATAAACGCTGGATTAGGCCTCAGATCAGCTGAGCTGCCATCAGCCTAAATTCTGAGACATGATGGAGCGACAGAGAGGGCAGATAAATCACTCAACCTCTTAGCGGATGTTAAAGCCAACAGCAGGGCTGTTTTAAGAGACAAGAATTTAATCGGAACCTGATCTAGTGGCTCGAATGGAGCTTTGATCAGGGCTCGCAGAACCAGCATTAAATCCTACTGTAGAGAAAGCGGGCCTGAAACAGGCCTGTGTCTCTGTACACCTTTTAAAAAACACTTAATCAGCGGATGATTAAAAGCTGTTCTGTCCCCGAAACCTTTGTGACAAGAAGAGATGGCTGCTGCGTACGTTTTAATCATGCTGGATGCCAGATTTCTGTCCATCAGCTGCTACAGAAAGGACAGCACGCCACCTAGTGGACATGAGGTGGCCTCTACACCTTTCTCCATACACAAGCACTGAAAAGCTGTCCACTTTGATGTGTACAGCGCTGTGGTAGATGCAGCACGTGAATCCTGGATCGTGCGCACTACCTCTTAAGAGAGACCCATCCTCTCTAAGCGGATTGTAGTGTATCTAAAAGGCTCTATTAGCTTCACAGCTCCACTACAGTTATATTTTAATAACGGGTTCTCTCTTTTTCGAGCTTTACAGATATGTGACAGAGGTACTGTGCGTAGATGGTTTAATCAGTGACATGAGATGTTAATTTTCTTTGACCCATCAAAATAAATGTGGTCATTTATTAACAGAATCAAAATTTAACATCAAAACATTGTACACTTGATTAGACTGATCTGCTTCTGATTAATAAAACTTGGCACATTTTACTTAATAAAAACAACATACATTTCTGAAGATATCTGGATTAATTACTGGCAAGATAGAAGAGTTTTAAAGATGGGAAATATGGAGGAGTTTAAAGGAAATATGTGGAGGAAGATTTATGTCTGTAGACCAGAACAACACGCTCCTTTCAAACGCAGCTCGCCGTGGTACACTTGTAGTGAAGCTCGTGACAACTCTTTACCTTGGCAGAAGATGGGTCCACTGTGGTCAAGAGGTCCCTGGCACGCTATCCTTCAGCATCTCCTCAGGGCGGCTGCGACTCGGCAGAAGTCGTGAGATGATCCGTTCCACAGAACAAACTTCCTCAGTAGTTATAGGGCATTCGCCGGGTGAAGTCACAGCGAGGCGCCGTGACTCCTGCAGAGATGGATGACTCCATCAGCCTGGAAAACTGAGTCCGAGGTTCCACTCAGCAGTGGAAAAATTCCAGAACTGCTCAACAGTACTCCAAGAGACTCAGAAGAACTTCAGAAGAACTCAGAGGAACTCAGATGAACTCAGAGTAACTTAGAGGAACTAACAGTTCCAGGAAGTGTAGACTTTTAAAGAGTTATGCTTCCGGTCACTTTTAGGAAGTCCTGATTGGTTGAAGCAACCAACAGGGGTGTGGTTCTAGTGACGTCAAAGG